ACAACTGTTATCCACTACCAAACATCCCTTATTTCCACACAGCAATGCAAAAGGAAAAGAGAAAACAGACAAACTTTTTCAATGACCATTTTCTTCAAATTAATGTGTGGGGGCTCCATTAGCAGTACTTCTTACAGGTAAATGACAAGAACAGGGCAGTGGCAGTAATTTTGGTTCAGAAAATTCCTGCACAAATCCAACAACACAGCAGGCAAAAACAAGGCGAGTTTGTAATTAATTGTAGGTGAAACTTTTTTCTAAATAAAAAATCTTTCACCCCCCTCCTCTCGGCAGAGTTCATTAATTTACAGCAATATAGCAAGGAGAAATCTGATAGCGAAAAGCAATTGCTCGTATTCTGTCCCGTGCAATAACTTATCAATGACAAACCCTAAACCCTACTTCGATTTTCATACATACACACACGTCCTCCAAGCCAAAAGGTGGTTTTAATTTTTATATAAAAAGAGTGGCATATCATCTACAACCATGGTCATTTCATCAGCTTTTAATAAGAATTTAAAAATAATAAGTCTGATCACAAGAGTCAGATTCCACTTATTTTTAATATTTTTTAAAACCATCAACGTCGTTACCAAATTAATCAAAATACCATTCAAATAAGAGATTTTGAAGATGCATATCAACAGCTGGTATTGAGGCAGACAGTGACCTGATCTAATCAATGTTTTTGAGCATATTTCTAACCTATCAGTGGTGCCCCAGCTAAGGAACCCATTTTTTCATTTATATAATTAAGTTTTTGGTTTAAATTAACAAATAATTTAGCTCTTAATGGTAGACAAAGACTTTAGGCTTGAGCTATTATATTTGGTAGGTCATACCATATGTTAACAAATAGAAATCATCCTTTATCAAATATAAATAAACAAATAGTATTAATATATAATACTAATCGAATAATGAATATCAACACCATTATTTTAATTACATAAAAATTAAATTAAAACTAAAATAATAACTAAAATTAAAACTATTTGTCTTTTCATTAAAGAAACTACCCACTAAAAAATACTCACTTTTTAAATATAATTTTTGATCGGTGTGTGACAACGTGTCTTGGGGCTTTCGTGTAATAATGGTTTCTTTTCACGTTATAATCTGATTTTACTAAAAAGAATTTTCTTAGTTGCTTTCCCATTTATCAATCATCTGGTGGAGAACTCGATTATAGAAGAAGACAAGTGACTGATTAAAATCATGATATTCGCGGTTTCTTTCAGCTTCTCCCTGGAAAATTAAACCTGCACATTCATCTGTTTTCTTCTCTTTAATATTGCTCTCAGTCGTTATCTTGTATAGTTATTCACTTTCCAATTTGGCTCAATCTCCAATTTTAAGTGATTGTGATGATGAAGAAAACCACAATTAATGGAGTTCTATTAAAACTAAGCTTTAGACCAATCCCTGGAAATTGGCAAATGTAAGCCTAAAATGTGGACAAAGCACTGACTAAGTTGCCACTAAAACATTGAACTTTGTATGTTGGAACAAAAAACTTTATTTTGTTGGAAACTAGAAAACATTGAACTTTTGTTGTTTCTTTTTTTTTTTTTTTTAAGTCTGCTAATGAGCATGTATCTTAATGAACAAAAAAGGATTAGTCAAATAAACAATTCATATTGTGATTGATGCATACGTATCATCGACTCAAAGAGTTTCTATCTTTTTCTTAAAAACAAAAAATTATCATGTTAGAGGGAGATTATTAATTGGCATATTGAGAGACATAAATAGAAAGACTAAGACAACACCTCCCCAGGTTGTTTCTTTGAAATTTAAAGGATGACAGGTCTGCAAGAGCTAATCCGGGTCCAGCTGGTTGTGGTGGTGTATTACGGGATTCTTCAGGTGCTATTCTGGCTTTATTCTCAACTTCCCTGGGATTGCAAGACTCTAGTGTTGCTGAGTTGCAAGCTATCAAAGTTATCTTGGAGGTATCCATTAAAAGTTTCTGAGTTGCTGAGTTGCAAACAGAAAATTAGGTGGTGATTTTCTTTGTTTTTGTTTTGAGTTATTTCTTTTGTTTATATCCCTTCTGGCCTTTCAGCATTTTAGTCTCCTGTAAATCTCTGATGATTAATAATAAAATTTTTTGTTTAGCAAAAAAAAAATGTTGGCCTTCGTTTGATTTGGCGGATGATACCAGTTTGCAGTGACTTTGAATCACCAATATGGAGATTGATTCATTACTGATAAGAGATGATTAGGAATAATGTCCAGTTTTAGACGAAAAAAATGCTAAAGCAAAACCGATTAAGCCTAAAAACAAAAATTTTGGCCGCCAACAGTAATGCAAAGTAACTTGCTTTTACAAGGAATGGCTGAAAGAAACTATATAGTTTCTTTCTTGTATAAACTTAATAGAATAGAAGTAAATTCTAGTGATAACTCAATCCAACGTAAGGATATTTTGATGATCTATTATAGTATATATTATATATGTAAAGATCTAAATTCATATTTATAAAATATTTTTTTATGAAATAAAATGGTAAGATTATTCGTAAATATTTATTTTAGTTTTTATACAAGATAAGGCCTAACTGATATCTAGATTGAGCCCTAATGACCAGTCGCCTTTTGATGTTAAGTCTGACCAAATTTCCTGACCAATATCTTATCCCTCACATGTTAGCGCCTGATATGCTGATGTGCTAGTTATCGATTAACTTCATGCAGTTGTTTTGGAAGTATCAATGTGGAATTTAGGTCGGATCTGGTGTATTATTGGTTCTCTTCTTGCCTTTCTCCCTTTGTAAAGAGCCACTATCTATCATTGCTTTTGCAATTTGCATCACTCTATATCACCCACCAAGGTTGAACTTGAAGTTATCAATTAGGTCATAGCAGAATCAGATAACACCTGACCTGGGCAAATTTTGCATGTCTCTGTTCAACATTTGTTTATTCATTTTTGTCACCAATACTCATCCGATGATTATTTTCCCATTTTGTCCTAAAACTTTTATTGCTGAATCAAAGTTTGAATCGTGGAAAGTTTTGAGTAGTACTTGGGGGTTGTAAGTTGTAACCCAAAAACTTTAAGCAAACAAATAGCAAAAAGAGAAATTATTTGATATGGAATTTTTTAATTTCACAAGATTAACAAATATTTATTTTATTTTATTGTATTAGAATTTTGGTGATATAAAATATTTAATTTTTTGTTAAAATTTTTTTAATTGGATGATGTAATTTATAAAAAAATATTTACTTAAATTTATTTGAATGAGTTGAACCAATGGTAAATATTTGAAGAAATTATATTTTAAAAATTTTAGCAATTAACCATTTTCAAAATCTAATGATGAGTATAATTATATTGAAATAAAATTTCATCTCTTTAATTTCATATAATAAAATATCAAAAAAAATTATTTTTTAAGTAAAATTTGAAGATTTATTTGGATATTATTCCAAAAAAATCATTAAAAAAGGCCCAAAAGAATTCTCTCATTTCCAGCCTGGTTTCTACATTGATTGGGCCCCTGATTTCACCGCAACAAACCTTCTGGGCCAGAGTTCCCTTTCGTATGAAGACCTCGTGTTCTCCTCAACTCAATTTCATAGAATTGTTTGGCCAAAAAAAATACTGAATTATATACAGGCTGTTGAAAACAAAAGGAGAAATAAAAATCACCAAGGCATTCAATTTTTTTTCATTAGATTGGCTACATTGCCATGATAGACATTCAATTTTTTTATTTTTATTTTTTGATATTGAATGATGAAAAACTCTTTTCCACAACTGTTTCTTTGTAAATTTTAATTTTCAATGTATATACTTCGATTTATATAATTTTTGCTAGTATTGTATAATATTTTTTAGCAGATTCTATCCCTATTTTTTAGCAGACTCTATCTCTATTATGTTGACATCAATGGTTAGAGATTAAATCCCTCTTAATTCCCAATTCAACATCCTTCTTCCTAATTCCTATTGTCAGCGCCACTAAGTGAAAAAGGCATTTGTTTTTTTTTCAGGTTATTTGATACCAAAAGGTTGGAAGGTTATGGTTTGGAATAGGTGTGTTCACATGGAACCTGAAGTTTATTAAGATGGGAGGTAAGTTTAACCTTATTGGCCCTAATACGGCTATATTCATGACCCACATTGACATTGGCAAATGGCATCAAAGAAGTTATTGTTTTATTTGCATGCATAGCCATAAACCCAAAGCAGGATCATTCCTTCCCTTTGGAGCACGGAGTTATTTTCTCTTTAACTACAATTGAGTCAGAATCAATTCAATCCATTTACTTGGATACTAATCAAGCCTTATTTACTATTGGCCTAAAAGATTTATTTTATTTCTTTTCTTTGTTTAACTTGTAGACTTGAACAAATCAATCCTGGAGGACCTATGGTGTTTTCGCATTCCAAGGCCCGTTGACAACTGCCTCGCAAAAGTCATGAAAGTTTTCAACTCCAATTCTGTTTTAAATGTTATTGAGCCCTAGGGAAATATCCAGCTACTGTGATGTAATATTTTTTTTCGCCATGGTTTTTGACGTTGCATGTGAATATTAATTGTTAATATCCATGTGAAATAAAGATTGTTTTACAAGAAAACTTTCCCCAAATAAAGCCAATAATTGTATTGGCATCTCATTTTTCGTTCTTGATATTTGAATTGTTCCCCCACATTTACTCAAAAGTTCATCTCAAAAGGAAAAAATAAGAAGAAAAAGGAAAAAACCCAAGGCTCTAGAGGGGAGTAACTCAAGCTTTTAGTGCTCCTTAATCCCAGTAATAATGTAAGGATATTGTTTTTCTACAAAGCACAAGCCAGTTAGAACTTAGAATCATCTTCGTAGGGAATCTGATATATTTTTGTGGGGGGCCAGCTGCTTAGTCATGTGAATGTGATGTAAATGGATAAACTATACCAAAAATATTTCTCCGTTTTATTCAAGTCAACTTCTTTTATCTTCAATGAACTAGAAAGAAAGACTCAACAGGGAATAAGAGAAAAATGAAAACCAAGAATATGGAGTTAGATTTCCTGTGGCTGATTCTGGCAGTGCTGGTGGGAGCATATGTTTTTCTATTTGGTTTTCTTAAGAAAATAAATGAATGGTACTATGTTTTTCCGTTGGGGAAGATGCAAAACTCTCTCCCACCAGGTGATATGGGTTGGCCTTTCATTGGTAACTCGTTGTCCTTTCTCAGAGCTTTCAGATCCCAAGACCCTGATTCCTTCGTCAACAACTTGCTCGATAGATCTGCTTCTCTCTCTCTAGCATGTATGCCATAACATTGAAGATTACATCGACATAAAAAATAAGATTAAAGCTTTGATAAGAAAAGATTAGCTAAGAAGATTCGTAGGATAAAGAAAACAAGACCTACTTAGAACAAACTACGGGCAAAACCAAAGAGGGCTCACTTAGGGTAAAGAGGAAAGATCAGAATATAGAATAAGGGAAGCTCAAGAAACTGGCCAACTCAAGAGGAGGTTCAAACTGATAATAACAAGCCAATTATTGGGGTGATTAATGTGATCACTGGGAGTAGCTCTACCTCAACGAAGAAGAAGTTTAACCCAAGCATAGTTATAGTGGTAGACACCTCAACAAAAAAAGAAAAAAATTAAAAAGATGAGTCGATCTCATTTAGTTTGAAATACTTTGAAAGAATCCAACACTCACATGATGATGTTATAGTGATCACTTTAGTATACAATTATGTAGTCAAAAGAATCCTATTTGATAATGAGAGTTTGACTAATGTCGTGTACTATAACTGCATAAAAAATAAGGATTAGTGAAGATCAATTGAAGCTAATCACCACAACACTTATGAGTTTGAGAACGAGTAATAGATTAAACCCTAGAAGGAGGAACAATTGATGATAAAGAAAAGTTAGCCATAGAAGATGGACTAACCTGAAAGATAGGGAAAGGTGGTAGATTTTACAAGTCAAAGTCAATTTGAGCACACAACTCTTTCGTGTTCAAGACCCATTCTCTTTTTACTTGAGCATTCTCTTCATTTCGTGACCACATTTTCTTGAACATTAGATTGAACCAATAGGCTATTTTCTCATAATTATGACCTATGATAATTGATGGGATTAGATCATCATCTTGTTGCGCTGACCTTCGCTAAGTTCTACCCGATAACTCTTGGCTTTCCCAGAACTCATACTAGAATATATAGTTAAAAATACGTATTAAAGAAGGTGTGAAAGATGTGAAAAAACTTTAAAGGTCGAAAAGCTTTTGAGATTGAAAATTTAGGTCGAATCGAGAGTAAAAAAAAAAGAAAGGTGGAAACTTAAAACCTCAACAGCTCTTTATATAGACGCATCACAGATTAGATAAACGTCACAGGCTATGCCATATGTCAAAGTAAAAGTGAGAAGACATCTTTTCATCTTCCCATTTTAAATTTCTCACTCAAACTAACTCTATCCTCATTTAATGTTGTTAAACCAACCTAACTGGATGAACTTCAAGTCAGACTAACTAAATCAAATGACTATTTAGGGTAAATCGAAAGCTCAGTTCACCGTCACATTTCAAAGTAAAAGCTCAAATGTAAGCTTTTAAAATAAAATACAAGTCCCACAATAGCCAGATAAACTCTAGTGCTAACCTCGAATCATTGAACAATTATCACCTTAGCAACATTTAAGTCAGCTATGCACTCAACCCAAGATACACACATGAGATCAAACAACCACAAGGTCAGACCACAGCTCAAGGCTAGTTATCCCCTAAGATCGACCTCTCTTTATAACGTCTGCTTTGAAGAATCAAACTTTCAAATCATCTCTTTTTATCGATTTGCCTTATAATAGGGGCATCGATTATACATTCAGTAATCTGATACTCAAACTACTTGGTAGGGGATAGAGTGTTAGGGGCATTTGATGGTCAAAATGATATAATGATCTTTTTTCCTTTTAGAAGTCTACTGTCATTTATGCTGACTGTCATAACATATAGATTCGTAAATCTATAACTAGACTTAACAAATGGATGGAGTCGCCACCAATCTTTTTTACTAGGTGTGATTGGCCACCTAAGGAATCTATTCCTTTAAGAAGCTTCTAAATTTGATGAAGGGTCCCTAAAATAATAGGTTCGAATCTACTAACCAAAACAGGGTTTGATTACATATGAAAAAATTATAACACCCCCACATGCCCATCCGAAAGATGGTACCATATTATTTTAAATTTATCTTATGGTCTTAGTTCTAAAGGTTTTAATTTTAATGTTAAAATATTGAAAATCATTTTTAAGACTTTTCATCAATCTGATAGAATTCTTAAAAATATTTTCACCTCAAAAGTATTAATAGATCATATTTGTTTTATTGAAAAGGCTCCGTCGTCGAAAAAATTTTATTTATTATTTATTTTGTTAAAAATATATATAATTATTTCACTATTTGGGCCAAATTAAAAATATTTTTCTTTTTGAATTTTTAAAATTTTCACCATTTGGGCCTATTTAAAAATTATTTTTTTTAATTTTTTTATCTCTAAATTTTTCACCATTTGGGTCAATTTAAAAATATTTTCTTTTTTTTTTCAAAATTTCTAAATTTTTCACCATTTGAGTCTATTTAGAAATTTTTTTTTGGAAAGAAAATAATATGACAATTATCTTTATTGAAATGTCATTTAAATTATTCCACAATTTGGGACAAATTTAAAGAAAATTTCTCACCTAGAGATTTCTTAGAAATTTACCATTTAAAATTTTTAAGAATCTCATCATTAGGTAATTATCACATATTTTTAATCAAAATTTTATTTGAAAAAGGATACAATTACTTGTATTGAAATTTCATCTAAATTATTTGACAATTTGAGTCAATTTTAGAGAAAATTTCTCACCTAAAGATTTCTTAAAAATTTACCATTTGAAATTTCTAAGAATCTCATCATTGGGTAATTTGTATTTAATTCCAAAATTTTTGTATTTTTATTTATTTTTCTTTTTCAATTTTTTGGTTTAAAAATAAATATTAATTATTATTATTAAAACTTTATCTAAATTATTTCACAATTTGGGATAAATTTAGATAAAATTTCTCACTTAAGAATTTTATAGAAATTTACCATTTAAAATTTTTATAAATTTTATCATTGGATAATTAATATTTATTCCCAAACTTTTTATTATTTTTATTATTTTTCCCTTTTTTTGAATTTAATCATGCAAAAATACTAAAAAAACACATAAAAAATAAATAAACAAAATAATAAAAAATACCAAAAAAATATGGCTCTATTGGAGCGACTCAAAATGACTCGACTGTAGACATAGAAGGAGGCTGAAAAGCATGGCTCAGGGTGCACGGCTCGGCTCAACAACAGTGTCTGGGGAAGGGGTTGAAATGCAGGTCAATGCTCAGGTTGAGTCGTCCAAATGAAAATGCACGGATCCTGGAAAGTCACTTAACTCCAAAACGACGTCGTTTTCAAGGCCCTATAAAAGGCTAAATTCCTTCTTTCTATTTCAGATCTACCTTTTCCCTTATTTCTCTTCCTCTCTCTTTATTAGGATGAACTCTTGTTGAACTTCAATCAGATTCTGAGAAATATCGTCAGAATCTGGGTTGGGTCATCGAACGATCGTTAGAAAATTCAACTTTCACCGAAATCTTCACCAAATTTTGGAATTCCTCATCGAAAAATTCAAATGGTGTCAAAAAAATCGTTGAAAAATTCAACTTGTGTCGAAAAATTCAACTAAAACTGAAAATTTTTCATAAATTTCTAGAATTTAGGGATTTTTCCCAATATTAAAAAAAAACCATTTTTTTTCTCTAAACCCAAAAATTTTCAAAATTTTTTTATGCTTTTTACTTGCTGTGTTTCTTATTTTTGCTTTCTGTGTGTGTGTTTGTGTGATATGTATGGGCATGTATTTATAAGGTTCTTAATTTGAGAACATTAATCCAGAAAAAAATCCCAATTTCCTTTGAATTCTAAACTTAAACCTAACTTCAACTTTACAAACCAATTCCAACAATTTCACACAAACTCAACAACCTTTTTTTTTGTTTTTTTATTATTAAAAATCAAAAGTAGACCTTTTGACAGATTGGGGTGTCTATACTGACTTGACATGTCATATCAGTCTGACATGTTTAGTACCGCATCAACTAGGCATTTTTCTTATTATCTTATTATGATCTCCTATAGCTTACCTATAAATATGAAGGTCTATGCACTATTAAGGCAAGTTCAATATACTCTCTTTCTCTCATTCCTACTCCATTTCTAATATGAATCTTTTTAACTTATACATTGGAGTATAAACACATAAAACACACCTTGTCTTTGCCTTTAATTACCATTCTCTTCTATCTTTCCAAGGAAGCCCCAGGTCAAAGCTTAGCACTAACGTAACCTAATTAGATATTTACCATCCCCAAGTCTTATAGACAATTGTCTTGCAAAAATCACAAACTTCCCATGACAAAGAATGTGATCATACCAAGTGATTTTAGTTATATATTATTCATATATTAGACGTTTTAACAAATCAGATGTTGATGGGAGATGGAAATACAGATTTTTTTTAGAACAAATTCCTAACTCTATGAATAGTAAAATATCAATTAATCAATATGATTATTTTATGCTATTAATTAAAATAAAACCTAGCTCATCCTCTTTGGTATAGCCTTAATTAAGTTTCATATCTTTTACCTTTCAAAATAAATAAGTTTCATATCTTATTTTCTAGTTAGTATGTACAACAAGATAACTTCATTCGTAATTTAATGATCAATTTCTTTATAACAAATATCCATTGAAAATGTCATAATATTTAGATCCATTGACTTATCATTAGACATTGACTTAAAGAGTTATCACCAATATTTTTTATTTAAGTGCGATTGGCCACCTAACTGAATCTGTCTTTCTTAAAAAGAAATCTTAAGTTTGACTTAGGTATCCTTAAAAGGTAGATTCGATGTCTGTGAAATCAAAACTAAGTTTGAAAGTACGATTACATGTGAGAAAGGTAATAGTACCCCTACAATGCCCATCGAAAGATGGTACCAACTCAATTTTGTGTTATTCATTAAGTCTTAAAAATCTTACTAAGTAATTAATTATTGAAAATTATTCTTAATTGACTCCAATACTTTTGGTAAAAAATTAAGAAAATTTTTTCAC